GGTTCGTTAACATTCTCTTTAAAGCCATAAGATTTGATCGCAGTATCAAACCTTATATTATGCTTGCTTCAACCCATAAATGGATCTTTTAAGCTTGCAAACATTTTGCTTGTGATCATGTTCAATGAACTCCTCTGATTGAGCTATATATCTCTCTCCTCAAGATTGTCGTTTAGAAAGGCAGTCTTGACATTCATTTGCCAAATTTCATAATCATAAAATGTGGCAATGGACGAGAGTATTCTAATCGATTTAAGCATAGCAACTGGAGAGAATGTTTCTTCATAGTCCACTCCCTCTCTTTGGGTATAACCCTTTGCTACAAGTTGAGCTTTGAAGGTCTGTACCTTACCGGCTTGGTCTCGTTTTCTCTTGTAGATCCATTTGCAACCAACAGTGATATGAACCAAGAGACATCAATCATACAATATACTTCAATGAAGATGTGAAGAAAATATTATTGAAATTATCAAAAGATATTTCAATTTAGCTGTTTTGAACATCTCGATATTTAAAATATCTTTTGTTTCGCTTGGTTTTAACATATATAAGTTGTTTTCTAGTTTTGCAGAACAAATATGAATACCTCTTTTGAAAATGAACACTTCATTGATTTCAAAAAATATTTTATACAATTATTCTAATAAACAAGAGATAAATATTAGATTTCTTTTTATTCTAGGAACAAAAAGTACATTATCTAATACAATGAATCTATCTAAAAAAACAACTTTAAATTTCCTACTTATCTTGCTGAAACAACTTCTCCTGTTCCAACTCTGAGTGTTATCTCACCTTCGGTAAGCATTCTCCAGGAACTAGTTTCTTGAAAAAAAAAAAAACAAATATGATCCAGGTTGAGTGATCATACTCTACTAAACATATTTCTACCACTAGTAATCATATTTACTTTGTTGTGCCTTTTCAGCTTTCTTCTCTGCAAGGTATTTTGGGCAGTCACTTTTCCTGTGCCCGTTTTCATTGCAATGGAAACATTTTCCATTATCTGCATTTTGAACCTTGCATTTGTAGTCACTAGGAATCTTATCTTTCCCCTTACCCTTTTTTTCATATGCATCCCAAACTGTTCAGTTTGCATTTGAGCTGGGGTTTAGGGGACATTCCTTAGTTAAAACAAACCTCAAATCATCATTTGTAAGTATTGTGTTTAGGTTTGATTTCCAAGTTGCGTAATTATCACCGTTTAATTTCTCATAAGCGAGTAATTGTACTATTAAGCTTGACACGCTGAGATTTAAAACAAATTCTATTAGTAAATTGACTTAATCCTTTTTAATCCAATCAAGTTTAGCAAAGGTAATAATGTACCCAAAAATTATTAATTTGCAACGATACTTTTAGTGAGTTAGAGCAACTGCTACCGAGGGGCAGTCAATCACTTCTTCACTAAACCAAAACATTCTTGACTTAAACACTAATCTCAGAATAACTCTTATTCCTATAGTGTTTTAGTTATCGCCACTTTGGTCAAGAATATACTAACTCTTAGTAATTCTTCGTAAGTGTGACCCGCCATTTCAGACCTCAGAGATCGGCCCCAACAATGCTATCGAATGAAAAAGACAAAATTGGGAATGGACCTCAGAAATCCTATCCATTTCTGGAGTTTTGCATTTTTCCGACTCCCATGTTACGACCCTCCGAATGGGTAGTTGCTCTAGGGCAACATGTAGGCGGAACATGGGAATCTCACGGTGCAACCTAGTGGTGGAGACCATAGGATGTGTTGATATACTTCCTTCTCCCACTTACTATAAGTACTTTCTCTATTCACCTTGTTATTGACTCATGCAAATACCTTCCGAATGAAGGCCGCTCTCAGGGCGACACGAGTCCGAGCATGAATCTCACGGTGTGAATTTTTCAGAGAGCGTAAAAAAAAACGATGTATCTCATATACTTTTTTTCCTCCCACTAAGTATTTTAGACGGTTGAGTTTACTTATTACTTAGGCATATTCAGGCTAATTAAATATATCCTAAGTCTAGGTGATTTTTCCAAGAATAACATTTATAGGATTTTTAGGTATCATGTCTATGTGATTTTTCATTTAAAAAAAAAATCCTTACATCACTCACGCATGCTCATAAAATTGGGCTAACTAAGCTCAAGTACTGGCCCGATCTCTAGGTAGCAGGTGTTCCATAAACCGTCAACTTAAGTACCTCCAACCTTAGACAAGATCGTGTCAAGTGAACTTTCTTGTAACCGCAGTTTTACAAGATATCAACCTATTTTAACTTTTAAAATTGATCGTGCTTGGTTGTTAACCTTAAGTGACCATGCATTTATCTTTGTTATAGATTTTAGCGTCTATCTCGTTTTATGACGTTGAAAATAACCTATAACATGCATCTAACATACTTTATATAACAATTATATAATCATCCATTCCATGCAATAATATAACAAATTATATCTATCACTCATGGAACCCTAAATATGCATACTATACATTATAACACTTATAACATACTTGTAATGCATGAAACATGCTTAGCCTATGGTGAGATTTTAAATTTATGACATACTTTATGCATATAAAATTTCTATTTAATTAAAACATACATTCATGATGCATAATTAATTAAACACACTAAAGTGGATTGATTTTGCCATTTTAAAGCAAGCAATTAACTAAATTATTACATTAATAATTAAAAATAACTTGAACCACTCCCGAGTATCACGAACTGGCCAAACCAACCCTTAAAAATGTTGAACTAGACCCCAACTAGCAGAAAAACACTCGAACCGCCTCTTCCATCTTCTTCTTTGATTCAACTTGCTATCTCTTCCATTTTCGATCAATTACAACCTAAAATGAACTCTAATGACTCCATAAAAATTACCGACCTTTCTTCACTCATTAAAACCCATACACATTAGGCCAATTACAATAATTGTATCAAATGGAAGCATAAAAAATGTCAAAAATGATAAACATCCACTTTAGCAACTACAATTTTCATTCATGAAATAGTTACCAACCATACTCAAATTAATGCAAATAAAGTGCCTAAAATCTTGCTCTAATATCAATTGATGGTATTCCTATTTGTGGAAGCAATTTGGATCTTACTCACTCTAACTATGTAAATTATAGTAAATTTGTAATAGCCCAAAAATAAATAAAGAAATAAACAAATAAAAATAATTATAAAAATAGTTAAAATAATAATAATAATTAATTAATTAAAAAAAAAAAAAAAACAACATTTCCCCACTTCTCTCCATTAACCTCTCATCCTTTCCCACCATTATCTCTCCTCAATCCATCCTTACGCCTGAGTAACAGTTACTGCAGAAAGAACAGAAAAACAACAATGGTTAGATTTGAGAAGTAAAATGACTTTCAACATGCAGACGTCAAATTTAGAGATTTTGGTCGGTTATTAATCCTATTCCTTTATAGTTTTGGTTATAAGAAATTAATTTAGGATCAAATCTCCTTATATATTTTACGGATCCTATAATAATTAGATCCCATATCCAATTGATTAGATTTTTGTTAGCATTTTAAGTTACCGGAAATAAGATTAGATTCAATAAAATTTTAGTTGAGATCTATAAACTTGAAGATAATAGCCAAACAATCGACATAAAATTGGCCAGCAATATATGTTTACACAATTGAAAATCTATTTACATAATGAAAATAATTCTAGGGAGGGGATTGAGGAAAGATTTGTTGAACAGAATTTAACAATAAAACAAGAAATATCAGACAGTAATGAACTCCATTAAATTTTGTCTGACAGTAAATATCAGAATTTTACGATGGCCAATGTAAATTAGAGAAATAATGTTGTAGAGTTCAAACCTAAAACTAATGTCATGGGCTCATATAGGTTGACTCGGATTTCAAAGGATGGAATCGAACTTTCATTAAAGATATATTCGTGACAACGACTTAAGCTAGCCAGGTAAGTGACCTTACTATCGGTATGGTTATATTTTGATGTTGACACGTGCCCTGTGGTTCTACACGTGTCATATATATTGATATGTGGAATTGTCTGTGGATCGAAATGCTTCCTATATGTTATGTTATGTTATAATATGTGGATTGTAGGATAATAATTATGGTACGATGTGCTCAAGGATATGTTTCAGATAGGATACGAGAAGGATGCACAAAATGAAATGTAACGATAGGAGTAAGAAACATTCATGAAACGTTAAGGTTAGGTTATATACTAGAGTGCTACGGATAGGAGAGATTGATGAAAGAATACGGCTAGGTTATAGGTAGAAAGGAATAGGTTTGTGATAGATTGATAGAACGATAGTGTTAGGGCATGTTCTTGTGACGATATGACTTAGGTACGTTACGTAATGATATGTCTGTGATAGGTATAAGAACGTTAAGGCTATGGTATGTTAGAGAACGATATGACTATGAAGTGTTTTCGTTGTGACTTGTTTATGATATGATACATTGTATGCTAGATTATTGTGCTTAAGTACATAGTTATGTGAGCATGAATGTATGCTATGTATGCTTTTAGTCTAATGTGATGTGTAATGCATGTAACGATTTGAGATCCTTGAATGATTATGGCATGATTGTATGGAATATGTGAATGTGAACTGCATGAATTGTATGACATGAAACATGGTAAACTGTTTGAAACCATAACATAGATAGTAATGTGTAATGAAAATGAGAATGACATGAAGCCTGGAACGTGACAGAGGGGTTATGGTCATTAAAGATAAATGTAGAAATAGGGGGACCTCATGCATTATGTGTGTTCATGCATCTGGGGGATACCCCCATCCCATCACGAGGGTACGAACGAGTACATCCAATGGCAGGACAACGATCGTTATGCATTGCATAGCGCTGCCATGTCGGTTCTAGTTTTAACCGGTCCTAGCATAAGGGGCTCCCAGAGTATGCCCACCTACTAAGGACAGTGGCCCAGCAGTTGCGAACTAGCTGGTGAGCCCAAACTCGCATATATGGGCTGTGTGCAGAGTATATGGTACACGTCCACGATTACTAGTTAGGATTACACCGTAGGGAAAACGAAACGAAAGATAGGTCCCATCATTTCATTGCATGTGATTGTTGCATTTAACCCCAATAGTGGGGTCACTTACTGAATATTTGTTTAAATACTCAAGCCATGTGCTACTATATTTTTCAGGTTAAGGCAAGGCATTCCTGTACGGCTGACGACGGCATCGCAACTCGAGATCATGGCACATGCATAGGATAGTGGTATTTATTTTCTTAGACTTAGGCTAGAATAGAATGTGTTAAACTTAAACGCTTATTTATTTTATTTCAGATTTTTTGTTGTGTCGTTTAAAGATGTTTTCGATGTTTATGGTACGTATACAGTAGTGACCTTAAATTAAGTACAAAATTTTGGGTCGTTACAAAATTAACTAGCATGTTCAAAAGCATTAAAACTCAATGAGTTTGAATACTAACCTTTTGTAGTTCAAATTTCTTTTTCCTCACGAACCGGTTTTGAACCACCACTAGTGTCTTCTCTACTATTCTCCGCCCTTAGAACGGGATTGTGAAATCCAATGAGTGACTAAACTTGATAGGATTTAGTATATATAGAAAGAGTTTTGAGAGATTTTCTCAAAGTTTTTCAAGAAGGATTTCCATGTAACTTGATCACTCTATTCATAGAGTCATATTTGCATGTTCATGCAAATTTGATATTTTCAAATTTTGACACTCAAAATTCCACTCAAATTTGTGGGATTATGTGGCAAGCATGCAAGTTTGAGTTAACCAAATTGACACTCAAAATTCTACTCAAATTTGTGGAGTTTATTTGGCAAATATGCATGTTTGGTTAAACCAAATTTTGACACTCAAAATTCCACTCAAATTTGTCAGATTATGTGGCAAACATGTTTGGTTAAACCATATATTGACACTCAATATTCCACTAACTCAAACATGGATTTTCCCATTAGATGAAGTCAAATTTCTTTATTTTAGTTCAACAATTAATTTAAATAGTTAATTTCAAATCAAAATAATATTAAATGGTTAATTAAACAATTTAATTAATATTTAACATTAAATAAAATTCCAATCCCAATCAATATAAATCCCTATTCATAATTAAAATATTTAAATTTTATTTAAATATCTCAAATTCTCTCTTTTTGTTTAATTCATAATTAAAACAAAATGCGGTTAAATATATCGTATATATTTAGCGTGTATTCCCTAATTTGAATTTGAACATTTCGAACTCACTTGTCACACTATTCTAAGGTTTAGTCCGATATGAGCTAGCAGAGGGACCTAATGGACCTACAGATCATGGGCTCCAACGATCCGAGATTAACCAGCTAAACTAATTAACCTTTTAACCAACATTCATTAACTACTAGGACACTCCACTATAGCCTAGTAGTTGCACTCCCCTCACTATAGATATATTTCTGTCCATTTGATATAACCATGATTAGTAAGTCGATCCTTCACAGGTTGTTCGTAACTAGAGCTGGGTCAATTTACCATTTTACCCCTAAAGTTACTTCTTGTTTCTTGAGTCCCACTGATCCTCTAATGAACAATTGGTTTGTAGTCCAACCACCAAACTGAATCCCTCTCGGGCCAATGAGAGGGTGGGGCCCCTTGTTCAAGACTTGGAGTCAGTACTTAAGAACAACCTCTCTACTATCCCTAAAAGCGAGTACGAGTGAATTCCATCTTACATTCTATGTCCCCAGCTATTCACCCAGTCTTATCCCTAAAATGGGAGGCTTATTGAGTCGGTGAACTCGGGCCACTCTCACCCATGCAAATCTAAGGATAATTCCAAATAAACAGGAGTTCATAGTTAGCTCAGGATTAAGATCGAGTTACCTAGGTCATCAAATGAAAAAATCAGTCTCAAAAGTAAACGACATTATAAAGTGAGAATGATTTTTGGTCTGATCTTATGCAATACTCATTGCATAGGACGCCCTCACTCACATGTCTTCACATGTACAATTTCGTGATCACATTGTTTATATCATATACAAAAGTGGGCCACATCCATAATGTCCCTAGAATAAGGTACAATTTAGATCATTTTGACTATATACTTGAACTTGATCCACTCTTATGTCTCTACATATAGTTTAAGTAATCATATTATAGCTAGAGTGTTTCTTAGTTTATTGGAATTAGATTAATGTTCGTAACATTCACTTTATTCAATAACAATCTTTATTGAATAAACATCACTAATAACTTTATTGAAACCAAAATATGTTTTTGTTTACAAACTATAAGTTTTAGGACATAAAACCCAATACATATTTCATATCATTTTCATATCATATGACAACAGATATATATATATATATATCCGTCATTCACATGTCGTATCCTAATTATATCATATCGTAAACACTTCGTGGTCATGTCGTTCCCTTACTTATCATAGTCTTAACGTTCTTCTACCTATCACAATCATGTCGCTACATGAACGTACCCTAGTCATATCATCATAGAAACGTATCCTAATGCTATCGTTCTATCAATCTATCACAAACCTATCCTTTTCTACCCATAACCTAACCGTATTCTTTTATCAATCTCTCATATCTATAACACTTCGGTATGTCACCTAACCTTAACATTTCATGAATGTATCTTACTCTTATTGTTACATTTCATTTTGTGCATTCTTCTTGTATCCTATCTCAAACATATCATTGAACACATCATATCATAATTATTATCATACAATTCAAGTATTATAACATATACAAACAAGCAATGAGTGATAAAGATAGAGATCAGTGGATTAAAGTCATGAATCTTGAAATGGAGTAAATGTTCTTCTTGTATCCTTCTCTCCTGTTGCTATGCTTATATCGATTAGAATACTCTTGTCTATTGCCACATTTTATGATTATGAAGTTTGACAAATAGATGTTAAGACAGCCTTTCTAAACGAAAATCTTGAAGAGAGTATCTATATGGCTCAACTAGAGGGGTTCATTGAACAGGATCACGAGTAAAGGGTTTGCAAGCTTAAAAGATCCATTTATGGGTCGAAGCAAGCATCTCGATCCTGGAATATAAAGTTTGATACTGCGATCAAATCTTATGGTTTTAAACAGAATGTTGACAAACCTTGTGTTTAGAAAATGATAGTCAACTCTACAGTAGCTTTCCTGGTGTTGTACGTTGACAATATCTTACTCATTGGAAATGATGTGGGATTTCTATTTGACATTAAGCATTGGCTAGCGACACAATTCCAAATGAAAGATTTGGGAGAGGCTCAGTTTGTTCTTGGAATCCAAATTGTTCGGAATCGCAAGAACAAATCACTAGCATTGTCTCAGACATCGTACATCGACAAAATATTGATTCTATATAAGATGCAGGACTTCAAGAAAGAATTATTACCTTTCAGGCATGAAGTTCATTTGTTGAAGGAACAAAGTCCTAAGAAACCTCAAGAAGTTGAAGATATGAGACACATTCCCTATGCATCAGCGATCGATAGTCTGATGTATGCCATGCTGTGTACCCGACCCGATGTATGCTACTCTGTGGGAATTGTCAGCAGATATCAATCCAATCCGGGACGTGCTCATTGGACTGTCGTTAAGAACGAGGGACTATATGCCAATGTACGGTGCTAAGGATCTGATCCTTAGCACCGTACACTGACTCAGATTTTTAGACCGATGTAAATTCGACGAAATCGACATCAGGATCTGTCTTCACTATGAACGAAGGAGCAATAATATGGAGAAGCATACAATAAGGTTGCATTGCTGATTCCACCATGGAGGCTGAGTATGTTGCTGCTTGTGAAGCAGCGAAATAATTTGTATGGCTTAGGAAGTTCTTAACTGATTTGGAAGTCGTTCTAGATATGCATCTTCCCGTCACTAATTGTGATAACAATGGAGCAGTTGCAAATTCAAAAGAACTAAGAAGCCATAAGTGAGGAAAACATATTGAGCGCAAATATCATCTCATAAAGGAGATTGTGCAACGAGGAGATGTGATCGTCACATAAATAGCTTAGAGAACAACATTGCTGATCCATTTACAAAACCCCTCACGGCTAAAGTGTTTGAATGGCACCTAGTGAGTCTAGGACTACGAGTTATGTAATCTAGGGCAAGTGGGAGAAAAGGCATGAGTATGTGATGACCTAATTTATTGTATTTATGTCTTTCTCTCTGCTCAATGTTATAAAACCCCACTAGAGTTTTAGTCCAAGTGGAAGTTTGTTGGGTTTTATGTCCTAAAACTCATGGTTTGTAAACAAAAACATATTCTATTTTCAATAAAGTTATTATTGTTGTTTATTCAGTAAAGATTGTTATTGAATAAAGTGAACTTTATGATCATTAATCTAAATCCAATAAACTAAGAACACTCTGGCTATAGTATGATTACGTGAACTATATGTAGAGACATAAGAGTTGATCAAGTTCAAATATATAGTCAAAATGATCTATAGTATAAGGACAAGGCTGAGTACCTTATTCTGAGGACACTATGGATGCGGCTCACTTTTGTATATGATATAAACAATGTGATCACTTAAATTGTACATGTGGAGACATGTGAGTGGGGGCGTCTTATGCAATGAGTATTGCATAAGATCGAACCATGAGAAAAATCACTCTCACTTTATCATGTTGTTTACTGTTGAGACTGATTTCTTTTCATTCGATGACTTAGGTAACTCGATCTTAATCCTGAGCTAACCATGAACTTCTCTTTATTCGGAATTATCCTTAGATTTGCATGGGTGAGAGTGGCTCAAGTTCGCCAACTCAATAGGCCTCCCATTTCAGGGGTAAGACTGGGTAAATGACTGGGGACGTGGGGTGTAAGATGGAATTCACTCCTACCCACTTTTAGGGATAGAAGAGAGGTAGTTCCCTTAAGGATAATTCCGTGATGGGATAGGGGTATCCCCCAAATGCATGAACACAACCATCAAATTTTTAGGTTGGGTTAGATTCTCGTGTTTATTTG